TAAAAGGAATAAATTCCATTTTGAAATATATTAAAATTGTGACTTTAAAATTATGGAACAAATATTATTAAAATTGACTGTTTTTGCTGTATTATTTTACAACATTCAAACAATAAATGTGTTGCAGTTAAGTTGTGTGCAGATTAATACTAGTTGAAAAATATATATATGAACATCACAGGATGATGATACCTCCATATATCATGTCATATACTTCAACCATGCCTATCAATATATCAATAAAACAGCTTGTGGTCAAAAGCCATTTGGTGTCCATAGCTTGTTAGTTAGCAAGAAAGAAAATAGAGAATAGAACTCAAATCTAAATATATTTCAGTGTAGCTATTGTTAACTAGAATTAGAAATTAAAAACAAAAAATTGCTTTAGATAAACTGAAATTAAAAATATTGCCATGGCAGTTAATTGAAATGAATTGAAGTTCGAAAATTGACTAAATCTGAAATAAAACTAAAACTAAACAGAAATATTTTTAAAAACATAATAAAAAAATGACAAATTCCTGAAACTTAATTTAAATGTAAACTGAAAATATAAAAATAAAAGCTAAATAATAAATACTATCATTGTATATTAATAACACTGATATATTGTTAACATATATGCACCACATTGGTAATACATTAAATAACAAGTTACGTACAAATATAATGTATATTTGAATAGATCGAATTGTCAAAAAATAAAAAGCCTAAAAATTTTTGTCCTCAAAATTAAGTTTAATAGAGCCACCAATTAAATAATTATATAAATCAACTGTTTAGATTACAAACATAATGATTATATATTATTATTTCATTCAAATGGGTTTCTGGGTCAAAATGACTCAAAATTCAAAGAGCAGGCCATGTATAGACCATTTTGCAAGATGTAAACAACACTGGTCCAGAAGCACTCCTTGTTTCAGTTTTTTAACACTACATAAAAGCTGGGATAAAATACAACCAACAAAACATATAAAACTGAATCAAAAAGTTAAACAATTATCTTTAAGATGTTTTCTTTCCATGTGACAAAGAAAACAGTTACAAACTGAAACAGGAAGTGTTTCTGGACCAGTGTTGTTTACATCTTTCAACCCCCCCATTTCCATTCCGTTTCTATTGTGGCATCTGGTTCTCACCTTAAGAAGGCACTGAGACACTACCTTCTCTGGAATCTCTGGGAAGCGCTGCTTGAGGTCCTGCAGTATGTGATAATCCAACTGAGACCCTCCCTGCGCCATCCTGAGCCCAAAGAGAGAGTCACTGAGTCCGCAGCCAGGAGCGCAGCACCTGCTCTCCTCTCATCCCCTGACAACACACATGATCACATCACATCAGAGCCACAGATCGGATCAGATACCATTATTGGACCAACTGATTAATCCAGGTGTGCCTACCCTCAGTAGTCACGGCAACAATAATCAGACACACCTGAATTAATCAAGTTCGGCCAATAATTGCAGACAGGAAACAAGGAGCTGGCTTAAGTTCAGGAAGTAGTGCAGCTGTGCATAACGCCAATTGGACATCTGATTCAGATCAGTGTTAACAAGAGGTAAAAAAAACTATATAAATACTGTTCGTTTTCTCACACAATCCGCTCGTTTCGTGTCTTAGGCAATCAATGTGTACTTACATTTACGAGTCATTAAATCATGTTTAATTTGGACTTCTCTGTGCATACTCTTTGAGGTGAACCGAGGGAGGACTCCCTTTACGTCCAGTGTATGACTGACAGACAACAACGGTTTGACCAAAAAAATGTCAAAATTGAAAATGCTGTGGAAACAAAGAAATCTACATCTTGGATGCCCTTGAGGTAAGCTAAAACATATCAAAAATTAACTTCAAGGTGAACTCCCTTTAAAGGTACAATGAACTTCCATTTAGGCCTCACTCAGACTCTCGACTGCGGCAGTGTGAACATGTCGCTCAACTGGACAAGAACAGAGCTTTTATACTTTTATTCATGTTAACCCCAATTTATCACAACAAAACATGCTTATTTGGTACATCGCTGGTGATTCAAACGTAAATTAAAAGCTAAAAGGCTTATGAAGCTAAGTTACTCTTGTGTGTCGCGCCGTTTTAGAATAGCTTGTTGTGTTTAGTCACCTCACCAACGACAACGACCTGAAATCCGAGACATGAACAGAGTTTCACATGTACAACCCTCTTCCGCTCGACCTCCACACACACACGACAGGTGTAACTAACCGCCATGGGCATAATTGCAGCACTGTTCACACCTTATTAAACTGAACACAAGCTCATTTAAATGAGGTGCAAATCTGAAATTAGTCCCAAATAGAAACACCAAGTACATAAACAATATATTTTAATGCGACAGCAGTTAAGTCACCAGTAAAAAATAAAATAGAACACCAACATTTAAGATTATATTAAAGACAACAACTTCATGAAAAACCGAAACCAACAAAACAATTCATGAACATCATAACACGAACCACGCGCAGGTTGATTTCAGCACTGCCTCCTGCTAGCTTAGCTAACCCATCTAATCATCCATTTAAAGGACAATCTGTCACCAAAAGTAACGATTATTACAGTCAAGCAGTGACGGTTCTGTCGGTTACCTGTGTCTGGCACCTCTTGGTCGCTGTGAAATTACGACAAGCCACCAAATCCGTTTAAGTGCTACAACTCAACGCTATTTTTGCATCACGACAAAGATAGAAAGCTTCAATTAATGGGATAAACTCAGACAAGAGCGTCTCATTATAAAACAAAAGTTTCCGCATTATTCTTCCTATAGTGTATATATATAAAATCACGATTTAAATTATATTCTCACTTGCACGCAACTTACTTATCACCGGGATGAGAAAGCTAAAGGAACACAAACAGTGGTTGTTCATTAACCGTTAGCTTTAGCACAGCCGCTAGCCGTCAAGTGTTTAGCCGCAGCTATGGAAAAAGACGGAAACGCAGCGCGCGCCGCTCCCGCGTGCTTATCTGACTGACGTTAAATTAATCCTGCGCGCGATACCTGCCAAAAGCTTGCTGACATCGTAAAAACCCAAGCAGGAATTTATACGAACACTTGCTGTCAGTTTCGGTGCAGTACAAACGACGGCTGGCTGCTCACCGCTCTGATAACAGTATATGTGCGACAACATACCGTGCGCCGGAGCCTTACGGCCATTGATTGACCATCCAAGCAAGGCGTTTCACATGGGGTGTGTCACAGGACTGCAGAAGTGATAGGAAATATAACAACGATTCACCGAGTTGATACAGGAAACTCGGCGGTTAGCACAAGCACAGTCGTAACAAAATTGTCGTCTTCACTTACGCCTATTTCTCTTCCTCTGTCGTTCCGGTTGGAGGTTTCTCATGTAACGTCATATGGCACATCCATGCCCTCTGTCGGGCTGGGGAAATAGAAAAGACCAGCTTTACTTGCAGTCCAAAAATAGCTTTTTTTGTACTGCAAAAATGTCATTACTGTGTGTGAAGAAGATGAACCTGTGGAAACTTACAATATTGTCGTGGAGATACTCTTAAACCATGCAAAACTCAACAAATGAAATAGTCAAACTCAGACTATATATATATATTATATATGTGTGTGTGTGTGTGTGTGTGTGTGTGTGTGTGTGGTGTGTGTGTGTATATATATATATATATATATATATATATATGTGTGTGTGTGTGTGTGTGTGTGTGTGTGTGTATATATGTGTGTGTGTGTGTGTGTGTGTGTGTGTGTGTGTGTGTGTGTGTGTGTATTATGTATTTTGAAAATATATATTTTTAAAGTGCATATTTGTTGAGCAGCCTATAATATGTTATAGGCCTCACATCAGGATTTTTGAGGAGGTAAAACCCTCCATTTTATTCAGAGGCCCAACCTGAGCAAAAATATGCACTTTGGTGCAATTTCTGATATTTATACGACCAAAAGGTAGAATAAAATTCTCAGTGAGTTCTCTAGTAGATTATTTACATAAAATGCATATAAATATCACTTGTCACTTTGTCTCCCAAAAATATTTCCTATACATGATAGTTATTGAAATGCTTAATGGTCAAAGCGTTGTATTTTTTTTTTAAATATTTTTTTTTATTTTGGGGGGAAAACATAATGCAGTGCAACACAATGATGATTGAGGGATGCAAATGAACATTCCTCAAAAGCCTGCCGTTTCATTTGATAATAGCAGTTTAACATGATATTTTTTTCTAAAAAAATAATATATGGATAATCAAGTAAAATAAGTTCATTCAGTCGAGCTAAATTTTAATTTTAAAATATTGCTAACAATATAAAATTTATTCTTACGTTTACTTTATAAAAATCAGTAAAGATTTCACAGTAAAGATATTTCTGTTTACTATGTTAAATGTACATTTAATATTGTTTAATAATAAAGATCAACGCAAAGGTTGATTCATTGAATTTCCTATGTTCACCACATGAGGGAGTCATTTACTGCAGCTCAGCTACAAATGTGATTTAGTGTCTAATAATAAACAGCTCTAAACCTTCCCTCTGGATAGACCGAAGGCAACTTATTTATGCACTAATTGCTATTTAACTGATATTAATAGTCCATGCGCATGACATTCTAAAAAATACACTGAAAAACAACACTTTACTATCCCATTAGGTAATGATATTAGTGCATACGTGAACGAACAATGAGCAATACATTTGTAACAGTATTTATTATTCATTGGGTTAAATAATATTCATTTTAGTTCATGTTCGGTCCATTGAATAATATTAACAGATAGCATTTGATCTTAATAATGTATTAGTAAATGTAGAAATTAACATGAACTTAGGTTAATATTAGTTTCATTGTTAGTTCATGTTAATAATGTTAACAATTGGAACATTATTGCAAAGTCATACCAAGAAAAATCACTGAATTAATTTGACCAAAATCAAAGAGGACATGGAGGGCTCTTTTCCACAAGCCAAGACTAATTGTATGTAAGATTAACAAGCTTATAGGGGCCAAGATCAGGACAAAAGGTACAGAGATCCAGACCAAGCCCATATTTATGAGGTCTTGTGGGTTTGTCTCAAGAGCACACAGTCAAGACTCCAGCTATTGCTAAATACACAGTGGAATAAACTACATGTCATATTTCTATTTGGGTTCTCTGACACAGATCAGGATTTTAGATCATAGCAAAGTTATTTGAGATTGATAAGTCAACATTTTCTCTGAGCTCCTGGGCAGGCGGCCAGTTCTCACTTGCCACAAGCCTTAATTTAGCTTGCCTCTGTAGCCTACCTGATAGTGGAGACGTAAGAGATACAGAGAGGAAATACAGGAAATGGATATGTTAATTTTCCTTGAAAAAAATACTTGAATCCTTTAACATCAATAATGTATTCATTTTTATCTACAGCTAAAAATAAGAAGATTATAATCAGTATAAGATTATTGTTTCAGGGTAATTAAAGTGTCTTGGTGTGTTTTGAATAACACAAATCACTTTTGTGTGATAAATTAACAAATAACTATAGACCCATGTTGTGATACAGGGATGGAAACATTGCTTGAGTGAATTGTTATGTTGCATATTTCAGCAACTGTGAAGTGCTTCAAGTGATACCACTTCTCTTTCAAACCAACTGTATACTTTCCATCCTGCCCAGTGTCCTGCTGTGATCTGCACCTGTTCTTATAGCAGAGTAAATGCCCAGTTAGGCCAACAGCTGACTTGTTGAGAGAGGGAGCGAGGCAGGCAAGAAAACAGACAAAGAGCAGAAGAAATACATCCAAACGACATTTCACATCACTTTCGTGCTGACCAACCAATAAACCTGACATTAGACTTTGGGTGTTTTTCTTTACATAATCCATTAAGTCAAGCAAAAGAGCAACACGATGATGCACAGTCAGTTGCTCCATAATTTGTCCATCCAGTTTATTAGTCCCTAAAAATACCCAGGGTATTTATGGGAGTCATTTTTCCACATTAAAGCCAGTATTACATACAAATTCACCCTATTTCTTTTCTAAATGCATCTTCTTGATCTTTTTGTGAATGATTCGTCTATCAAAATGACATATCTTTTGGTTAAATGACATTTTCTCTGGACTCTGGTGATGTATGCCAGACTTCTCCAATCATTTCTCACCTAAACCCCGCCCCCTTTCTTACAGACTCGCATTAAGATCAGCAAACGGACAGACATTTTTACTAGGATGTACGTCACAAAATGGAAGTAAGATCTGTCGCCACTTCCTTTTCATTGTGACTTTAAACATTGTCTTGCTACAACAAAAAGATATCATTTTTTCGTTTCACTAAAAGACAAGGAACGGCTAAACGCTCCGCTCCTGTACAGAGAAGGCCTTCTGTAGCACTGTTCAACACACTTGGAGCAATGAGCTATTTAAATCGCCTCTATTCCAGTATTTAACAAGCCTTTTCTCCATCTTAATGTCTTAATTGTTGTGAATTTCATCTGAACAAACAGTACCAAAATAGACAATATATAAAAAATGATGTGAATGAATGAAAATAATAAAATAAATGAATAGCAATGAGAGAAGCAGTGAGTTTTGGCAAGCTAGCTGTCTCTATTGCTCTGATCTCTGCCCACAGGTGGGACGCTATTTCGGGCTGTCCCTTGTTTTCTCTGCTGGTCTTCCTGTTGGACATTGCACTTAAGCCTTTGAATTGAAGAAAATATCCTTTTAGATAGACTTTTAGAGGTTTGTAACAGTATTTAAAAAGGTTCATCTTTATCAAATGTAGCCAGAACTATAAGGTGTGCTCATGCATGACTCTGCAAACATATAAGCGTCCTCCTAAAGCTTTTGGATGCTACTCAAAGCTGCTGGTTAAACCCTTTTAACTCAGAGTATGAATCTTCCAGTATGGTGTTGCAGTCTAGAGAGAGAGAGAGAGAGAGAGAGAGAGAGAGAGATACATGCTGGGTATGAGCTCAAGTTACAGATGGCAGTGCTGTCCTTCAGGCTTAGGGGGGTTTCCAGCTCATTTGGGATATACTTGCTGAAAGAATCATTTAATAACATCAAAATGGACAATATTTAGCATCTAAAAATGTACACACACACACACTATATTATATTTATCTACTTTCTATTATGTTTGTTATACACTAACTGTAATGTTACTTGAATTCGAGTGATCCATTGAGATATCTGGGTTATCACACACCTCTGTGACTGTGATAAGTGGGTCAGAACTGACTGGACAAACCACAGACCCTCAAGATAAAGCCTACTGGCTCCAACAGCCAACAATAGCTTTCCATGTAAACACGCTGATGCTTGCGTGGAAAATATGAATGAAAACAAACATGAGATGCTTTATATAAAATGTCTGAACAAAACCCATCTTCAATGTGGATGATTGTAATACACTGCAAAGGAAAAGAACGCTATATGTTGAAAAAGTGAAGGTAAATAATGTAAAATTCAAATTTTCTTTGCAATGGTAATTGAAAAGGTGAATTACATGCATTATTCCAGTAGTAAATATTTTTTTTTAAAGTGTGTAGCCTATTTATAATTTACGTTTTATATTCACAAAAGTAGGCCTACCTCCATGGTGTATAACATTTAAATACTTATTTATTTAAATGTAAAAAAAGTATACAAATTTAACATAGGCTACAATAGGGGTGGTTATGTTACATTTTATTTAGGCTTATAGCATCATTTTAATGTAATTTTACTGTCTTTGGAAAGAACATTATTTCATCACGTGACCTAATTTAACAACACTTGCAAAATGATACAAAGTGTATACATTAGTAAAATATACACACAAAAAACGGATCAATGTATTAAAGTTAAACGCTGAAATGCTAAACTGTTTAGCAGCTTTTAAAATGATTGAATAAACAAATGACTAATAGCTTACAGCTAAATTGTGTCGTTAGCAAAATGAATAGCCTATAACGATCATAGTGACAAAACAATTATAAATTCGTGTAAAAGAGCCTCAGACTGGAAGATAAGGAGACATATGTGAAGCGACAGCTGAGGCCGTCAGCCGGTGGCGCGTGTGGAATGCGGTAGATGGAGAGGGGCACGGGTATTTTTATGGATAGCGCCCACCGATAACCGACTGCGCTCATTTGACTCTCAGTCGCACGGGAAGAGAAGACTAAACCTGTGCGCGGGGATTTAGATTTGACTTTAGCATTAGCCAACGTGGACTACAAAAAACAAACAAACAAACAAAAAATCTTATGAAAAACAAAGGGAGATTATCACTCTAAAGAAGGTAAGATATTTTTAAGTTATCGTTTAAATGAAAAATTTAATAAAGTAGGCCTATGTGGAGGAC